TTATGGGAACTTTACATAATGTAGGTGATTAAATGTATCAGATTCAATTCAGAAAAATGAGGATTCACAAATTTTCTTGTACTAATGTTAAGTCCTAACTAAGAAACTACATTTCCTACACATCTAAGAAATTTCTCACATTTGGACTCATGTGCAGAGAAATTTAGAAATTGGCTGAGAGATATCTCATATTAATTGCACTCATTATGGCTTGCCCCCATTGTGAACTCTCTGATGATATAGGAAACCACTTCTGCCCTCATAAAATTTCCACATTTAATACATTTATAAGGCTTTTCTCCAGTGTGAACTCTGATGATTTTGGAGACAATTGCAACCTGTAAAAGATTTTCCACATTCACTGCATTTATAAGGTTTTTCTCCCGTATGAATTTTCTGATGACGATGAAGGTTTTTCTTAGTGGTAAAAGATTTTCCACATTCACTACATTGATAAGGCTTTTCTTCTGTATGAACTCTCTAATGACAATGAAGGACGGTTTTAGTGGTAAAAGATTTTTGACATTCACTGCATTGATAAGGCTTTTTTTCAGGGTGAATTCTCTGATGATATTGGAGACCACTGCTACTTTTAAAAGATTTCCCACATTCACTGCATTTATAAGGCTTTTCTCCAGTATGAACTCTCTGATGACGATGAAGGCGGGTCTTCGTGGTAAAAGATTTTTCACATTCACTGCATTGATAAAACTTTTCTCCTGTATGAACTCTCTGATGACAATGAAGTTCGGTTTAACCGGTAAAAGATTTTCCACATTCAGTGCATTGATAAGGTTTTTTTCCCACGTGAAATCTGTGATGATATTGGAGACCACTTCTACTTTTAAAAGATTTCCAACATTCACTGCATTTATAAGGCTTTTCTTCTGTATGAACTGTCTGATGACGACGAAGGGCACTGCTCTGGGTAAAAGATCTTCCACATTCATTACATTGATAAGGCTTTTCTCCAGTGTGAACACTCTGATGATACTGGAGACCACTGCTGAATTTAAAAGATTTTTCACATTCAGTGCATTTATAAGGCTTTTCTCCAGTGTGAACTCTCTGATGATCCTGGAGACGACTTCTACGTGAAAACGATTTTTCACATTGACTGCATTTATAAGGCTTTTCTCCAGTGTGAACTCTCTGATGATCCTGGAGACGACTTCTACGTGAAAACGATTTTTCACATTGACTGCATTTATAAGGCTTTTCTCCAGTGTGAACTCTCTGATGATCCTGGAGACGACTTCTACGTGAAAACGATTTTTCACATTGACTGCATTTATAAGGCTTTTCTCCAGTGTGAACTCTCTGATGTCGATGAAGGATCTTCTTAGAGGTAAAAGATTTCCCACATTCACTGCATTGATAAGGCTTTTCTCCCGTATGAACTCCCTGATGTTGATGAACATCAGCCTTAGCGATAAAAGATTTTCCACATTCACTGCACTGATAAGGCTTTTCTCCTGTATGAAGTCTCTGATGACGATGAAGGGTAGAGCTCTGGGTAAAACATTTCCCACATTCACTGCATTTATAAGGCTTTTCTTCAGTGTGAATTCTCTGATGACATTGAAGGGCACCGCTAGTCATAAAAGATTTCTCACACTCACTGCATTTGTAAGGGTTTTCTCCAGTGTGAACTCTCTGATGACAATGAAGATCACTGATCTGGGTAAAATATTTCCCACATTCACTGAAGTGATAAGGACTTTTGCCAGTGTGCACTCTCTGATGACGAAAAATTTCAGTGCTACTGGTGTAAGTTTTCCCACATTCACTGCATTTATAAGGCTTTTCTCCAGTGTGACCTCTTTGTTGATAATGAAAGCTAGACAATTTGGTAAAATATTTTCCACATTCAGAGGACATAAAACACCGACTTCCAAGATGGACACCTTTTTCCTGAATAAACGTGTGGGTGCAACTAGTGTCTCTCTTACATTTTTTTCTACTGTAAAAATTTTTTCTCCTTTGATATGTATTCCCAGATGTCAAAATTGCAGTTGGACTGTCCCTGGTCTGAGTAGCCTTTAGCTGGAGATGTCCTGACCCAGTAAGGACATCCTGCCCAACCTCCCTGCAGGAGAAACGATTCTGGGATACATTGAAATTGTGGCAGTTTGCAAGTGAGATCCTGTCCACACCTGTATTGAATGTCTTCTCTCTCATATGCTGCTGGTGAAATTTTGCATGAAAATAAAATCGTTTTGCACACGCCCCACATCTCAACAGTATCTGTCCGTGTTGTGTTCCCTGCAGCTCCATCACGTGGAAAATGTTTCCCAAGACTAGTTGACAACCCTCACACGGGTGGCTCTTCTGGAAAGACAAGGCTAAATCGGGATTCCTTGCCTGTGACAATCTTACAGAAACCTTCTGTTCAGTCGTTGCCTCCACATTCTCTGCTCCACAGCAGCAACCTGAACAAAAGGAAAAGTAGGTGAAGTGCATGTTGACCTGATAAATACAGAATATCTTCACCATAATTGTTTATGTCACAACTGGACATGATTCCATACAATAATTTTCAAGACAAGTAAGTCAGACTGTCATGAAATGGCTGTTATATATAACATGGCTCAAAAGGTCACTAGATGAGGAAAATCTTACCAAGGGAGGACAGAATCATGGGCTGGCACAAAAAGAGAGGCAGGGTCTGCTCATTATTATTCCACAAATGGCTCCCTTTAGGAACTTTCATGCTGGCTATATGAGTCTGTGTAAAATAATTTCAATGTGCTCAAACCCATAAAATATCAATCATAGTAAAGCACGTGATGTTCAGCGTCAATATAATACAGGTGCACTCTAAGACTCTGCTGCACCCATGCAACAACATTGCAGTGGAGTAAAGCCGAGATGTGTGATAGAGGCAGAGGTGCAAATTTAAAGAGTTTAAGGTTATCCATGGGCTGGGAATCCAAGTAGAATGATCAGTATTAAAACAGAGTCATAGGCAAAGTGTCAATATTAAGCAAGAAGTAGAATTTGGTGAGGAGTGAGCAATGGTAACAAAACATTGTTGAACAAAATGGCTTCCTAGTTATGAATGTAACAAACCCCAGGCATGAAAACCGCCCTGAAAGTCTTTCACCAAGGCAAGACTGCCTCTGGGTCTACACTGTCATTGATAAATCCATGTTTCTCCTGTGATGCACAAAAGATTTTGCCTCTTAAATCCAAGTTGAGCCACAACATGAGATAAATGATGCAAATCTTAAAAGAAAAACTAAAACGAGGTATGGACAGCACTGTCGTAGAACAACAAACCACAAATGGGATCACAGGCAAAAAACCTATGTGAGTGACAACAGCAAGATGGCAGAATCAGAGATAGAGAATCTTTCCCCTTCCCAGAGTAAGTAGACACCTATCCATGAAAAAAAATCCCACAAGAATTGGGAATTATAGTACCATGAAGACAAACAGTAATACAGAATTCCAAATATGGACAACTGCATAGAAAGGATGACAGAAAACTGGTTGAGCAAACACATATGAAGATACGTAAGTTCAAAAAAGGGTTAATAACTAACTAACTAACTAACTAAGGAAATAAATAAATAAAGGAAGCAAGCTGAAACCGGTTTGGCTCAGTGGATAGAGCGTCGGCCTGCGGACTGAAAGGTCCGAGGTTCGATTCCGGTCAAGGGCATGTACCTGGCTCCCCAGTAGGAGATGTGCAGGAGTCGGCTGATCGATGTTTCTCTCTCATCTCTCATCGATGTTTCTGGCTCTCTGTCTCTCTCCCTTCCTCTCTGTAAAAAATCAATAAAAAATAAAAAAAATAAAAAAATAAAGGAAGCAAGGATCAGCCCTAGCTGGTTTGTTTAGTAGATACAGTGTCATCCTGCGGACTAAAAGGTCCAAGGTTCCATTTCACTCAAGGGCACATGCCCAGTTTGTTGTGGGTTCAGTCCCCAGAAGGGGGCATGCAGAAGGGAGCTGATCAGTGACACTTTTTCATCATTAATGTTTCTTTATCACTCTCTCACCCCCTTCCTCTCAGAAATTAATAAAAATATATTCTTTAAAAAGAGGGTCAACCCTAGCTGGTTGGGCTCAGTAGATAGAGCATCCGCTTGTCGACTGAAGGCTCCCAGGTTCGATTCAGGTCAAGGGCACATGACTGGGTTGCAGGTTCAGTCCCAGCTGGGAGGAATGCAGAAGGCAGCCAATTAATGATTCTCTCTCATCACTGATGTTTCTATCTCTCTCTCCCTCTTTCTTGCTGTCTGAATTCAATAAAAACATGTTATAAATAAAAAATAAAACTAAATGGTCAGCGATACCACTATCAGCCACTGTGCTTCTGTTCTCATTGATCCTATTGGCCTAACTGTGCCAGTGGCACAAAGAGAACCTCCTGTGCTTTTGCAGCCCAACCCAAAAAATGGCAGACTTCAACTCCTCGCATACATAAGGGACACACTCAGGAAGCAGAAACAGGTTTGGAGGAAGCCGGAGCCAGATCCGGGTGGGCTGGCAACATGGAACCGCTGTGCCAGCAAACACACAAGCAGATCCGCCAGATCTAGTCTCACATGGGACGCTGGGAGACGCAGACAAGCGGTCCGTGCACTTAGTAGGGAACGAAATCCAAGCAAGCATACCAGATATTCAGCCACCAAGAATGCCTGGAGACTTTGTTGAGCTTTTTTGGGGCGGTACTCTGAGGTCCCAGACCCCTACAGGGAGAGGTGGGGCAGCCTTGCAGCAGGTCTGAGAGCAAGGGTGGCTTGCTCACGAAGCTCCTTGCCGGCACTCAGGGACGCGGAGATGGACAGGGAGTTGCAGAGAGGCGAGGAATCAAGGAGACGCCATTGTCCTTTGCTCCGAACTGCTGACTCCCAGAGATCCTGCCCTACTCAATTTATATCCCTGCGCTAACTGTGCCAGTGGCACAAAGAGAACCTCCTGTGCTTTTGCAGCCCAACCCAACAAACTGCAGATTTCAAATCCTCACATACATAAGGGACGCACTCAAGAAGCAAAATCAGGTTTGGAGGAAGCCGGAGCCGGACCCGGCTGGGCTGGGGATGTGGAACTGCTGTACCAGCAAACCCACAGACAGGTCCACTAGATCCAGCCTCACACGGGACGCTGGGAGACGGCAGACAAGCAGTCTGTGCACTTGGTAGAGGGCGAAATCTAGGAAGGCATACCAGATATTCAGCCACCAAGAACGCCTGGAGAATTTCTCTAGCAAGGAGCTGCCCAACAAGACAGACCGCCAAACTTCGTGTTGCTGAGCCTGCCCCCGTGAGGCTGGGAAGACCCCTGTGAGGCTGAGGTGGGGCTGAATCGACCCCTGTGTGGTTGAGGTGCCCCCGGTGAGGTTGAAACGACCCTGGTGAGGTTGGGACAGCCCTGTTGGGGTTGGGACAGCCCCGGTGAGGCTGGGACGGCCCGGGAGAGGCTGAAATGGCCCCCGTGAGGCTGAAGAGGCCCTGGTGAGATTGAAATGGCCACAGTGTGGCTGAAACGGCCCCGGTAGGGTGAAACAGTACCCGTGAGTTTGAAACGGCCCCAGTGAGGCTGGAATGGCCCTGGTGAGGTTGAGAAGGCCCAGGTGAAGTTGAGACGGTCCCTGTGAGGTTGAAACGGTCCCGGTGTGGTTCAGACGGCCCCAGTGAGGCTGGGATAGCCTTGGTGAGGTTGGGACAGCCCTGGTGAGGTTGGGAAGGCCCCGGTGAGGCTGCGACGGCCCCTGGGAAGCCAAGAAAAATACCATATGATCTCTCTCATTTATGGATAATAAAAACCATTATAAACTGATGAACAAAGATAGATGCAAAGGCAGAGCAGCATTGAATAGACTGTAAAACTACAGTGGGAAGCCAAGGGAGGGTTGGGGGGGGCGGGGTAAGAGATCAACCGAAGGACTTGTATGCATGCATATAAGAATAACCAATGGACACAAGACACTGGGAGAAAGGGGAGGACGGGGGGATGTCAAGGGTGGGGGGAAGGAGACATGTGCAATACTCTTTGTAATACTTTAAGAAATAAAACAAAATAAAATGTAAACAAACAAACAAACAAAAAACACAATAAAACCCAGAGGAATAAATTCAACCCAAATGTGAAACATCTGCACAGTGAGTACTATAAGACAGTGATGAAAGGAATGAAAGAAAACACAAATAAGTTGAAAGACAACCTATGTTCAAGGATCTGAAAATAAAATATGGTGGAGATAGCTATCGTACACAAGGAAAACAACAGATTAAATGCAATCCCAATAACTCCAATGGTCTTTTACTGATATATGAATAGGAAATCTGGAAATGGAATCAAAAGACCTCCATTAACAAAAGCTATCTTTTTTTATAATATATATTTTGTTGATATTTTATGGAGAGGAAGGGAAAGGGATAGAGTTAGAAACATCGATGGGAGAGAAACATCATCAGCTGCCAACTGTACAGTCCATACTAAGTATGTGCCCATAACCAAGGTACATGCCCTTGACGAGAATCGAACCTGGACCTCTTGAGTCCGCTGGCCGAGGCTCTATCTACTGAGTCAAATAGGCTAGGGTCGTAGTCGGTAAACTGTGGCTCGCAAGCGACACGCTGATCTTTGGCCCCTTGAGTGTTGGTCTTGCACAAAATAGCACGTGTGGGTGCGCATAGACAGTGCCATTGAAACTTCGTGGCCCATGGGCAGAAGTTGGTATTTTGTGGAAGAGCCACACTCAAGGGGCCAAAGAGTCGCATGTGGCTTGTGAGCCGCAGTTTGCCGACCACTGCACTAGGATAACAAAAGATATCTTGAGCAAGAAGAAAGCTGGTGGCACCACACTTCCTGACTTCAATTTATTACAAAGAGAAAGCAAGTAAATAGTGTGTTGCTGGAGAAACACAGACACATACATCAACAGAAAAGAACAAAAAACACAAAAATAAGCCCAGACACAGACTTTCAAGTACCTTTGACAAAGCAGCAGCCTCAGAAGATAGTTTCTTCAATGAATGGTGGTGGTATAAAGAGACATTCACATGTAAAACAACAAACTGGACACCTCTGATAACATTTAACTCAACATGCAGGACAGAATTAAACGTCAGCACTAAAACTTAAAACTCGTCAGGACAACCTAGAGAAAAAGTACTGGAGGTTTGTTTTGGACAGAATTTTCTGAATGTGACACCAACAACCACACAAAATAGAAAACGTAAACAGTCCACACTGCAACAAATGAAGAAAAATACCGTCTTCACTGTACAACAGCAATAAACAAAACGCACTGAAAGGCAATCTAGAGAACAGAAGAAAATACTTGCAAACCACATGAAGGAATCCCTTGGAGATATTGTGGATTCGGCTATGATCAGCAAAATAAAGCGAATACTGCGACATAGACAGAAATTCACAGAAATAGTTGGAGTTCCGTGGGAATAGTGAAGGCATGTTAATACTATACTGCAGGCTAAGAACAATGCAATGACTCTGTCTCAAAAGCAAAGTCTTTCTAACTTCATTAACAATATTTAATTGCTAAGCACTAGTAACAAGCATCTGAGCTTGCTAGAAACATGGTGGCACTAGACCTGCTGAATGCAGGGTTGCCAAAAACATGGACTTTGCAGAAAAGCGGGTGTGCGGGAGTAATATCTGCAAAGCACTATTAAGCACATGCAAAAATGTGTTCCTGTATGTAATAAGCAAATAATATGTAAAATATACAAGGTATCCAAAATACTCTATTAAAAAAAATGCAGATAATAAACAGGATAAGGATGTGGAGAGTTTTTCAAAAATATATACACATGACAAATAGGAATACAGTGGTGCCTTGACTTACGAGTGTCCTGACTAACGAGTTTTTCGAGATACGAGCAGTCTCTCGGCCGATTTTTTGCTTTGAGTTGCGAGCTCAAATTCAGGTTACGAGCCAGCTTCAGATACCCCACCGCTAGTTGGCCCATGAACGTCACAGTGAACGCCACAACATCAGCCCGGCATCACGTGTCTCACTCGTTCACTTTAAGCGGTTAGCACTTAGTTGAAGCATCAGTGTTGTGCTCGCATTTGTGCTTGCAGTTATTTTGCAAAACTTTGTTTTTTCAACCATGGATCTGAAGAAAGTAAGTGCGAAGGACAGTGCTGAGAAGAAGAAGAAGCTGGTGATGTGCATTGAATTAAAGAAAGAAATTATCGAAAAACATGACCAAGGTGTGTGAGTAATCGACTTGGCGAAGCAGTACAAGCATAGCACTTCTATGATCTGCACCAGACTGAAGCAGAAGGAGTCGATACAGGCTATAACTTCAGCCAAGGGCGTTAAAATAATTTCTAAACAGCAGACATTTATCCATGAAAATATGGAGAAGCTGCTAATGGTGTGGTTAACGGAGCAGCAGCTTGCAGGAGATACCGTGACGAAGGCTATAATCTGTGAGAAGGCACGAGCTATTTATGCTGATTTGCTGCAGCAGACCCCAGGCACTTCAATGGACGAGGCATTGGGCGAGCCGTTTGAAGCCAGTCAGGGCTGGTTCGAAAATTTTAAAAAGAGGACCGGAATCCACTCCATTGTCAGACATGGTGAGATCAAGGAAATGTTGGGAATGTGGGAGAAACTTTCAGACTTTATTCAAAAGAAACACCCAGAAAAAATTGCAACTGGGCGTGCGATGGAGCTATTTAATGACACTTGCCTAACTCATTTCAGAAATATTCTGAAAGGGAGGATGAAACAGATCTCATTGGACAGGTTTTTATCAAAAACTCCTGTATATGAAAGTGATGAAAGCTTGGCGAAAAAGGCAAAAATCTGCAAATAAGATTCAGTTATTCAGTTCAGCCTTCCTCCTCCAACTCCATCAGCATCTTTAAGTCCTTTGATCTCCAAGGTAAATGTTGTACATTAAACATAATAAAATAAGATTATTGCACTACATTCTATTGTTCAGTATTGTGTTTTTATACAATATTCGTTATTTTTAAATACATTTTTCTTATTTAAAAACATTTAACAAAACAATTGCGGTGTTTTTAGGGTGTCTGGAATGGATTAATGGCATTTCAATTCATTGTAATGGTGAAAATTGATTTGACATATGAGTAATTTGAGTTACGACCTCTGTCACAGAATGAGTTGAATTAAACTCCTAAGCCAAGGCACCACTGTATAAAAAATGCTTTCCTCACTAATCAAGGTGGAATCCTTTAAGCTTCCTGCAACACTACCAACCACAAGCCCTTCCCTGTGAATTTAGTGCAGCGGGGAGTGTTGGAGCTTCAGAAATAGAAGGGAGCAGTGGCAACAGACCAACCCACCCCAGGACAACAACTACCCAGGAAACTGGAAAATGAAGCAGTATAACAGTCTACATGGGAGGACAGAGCTCACCCTGGGGGCTGGGCCCTGGGAAATTGAAAAGCCAAGTCCAGGTCACTGGTGAGAGTGAGGGTCTTACCCAGTGAGGATGTAAGTTCAAAGTTCTCCAGCATCACATTCAGGTACAGCTGTCTCTGACCCTCATCAAGGAGGCTCCATTCCTCCCTGGAGAAGTACAGGGCAATGTCCTCAAAGGTAACACCAACCTGTCAGAATGGAGACAATTGAAACCAGAGCTGTCTCTCTGAGAACCAGTAATCCTACTCCTTACACACCTTCCCCCCCTCAACCTCCTCCAGGACCCCTGGTTAGTGTGGACACCAGGCCCTAATGCCAGTGCAGGCTGCTCTCTCATCACAGTCCCATTACTCACTGCATAGCCCTCAGCAGAGCAGCTGGGTTGGGAGGGAAGGAATGGGGGAGGGGAGGGTAGAGGGCAATGCCATTTAAGGTCTGGGCGATGCCTGCAGGGCCCCAGCCTTCCTGCCAAGCAAACCACTGCAGTCTCCTAGATCCTGCCTCCAAGACAAAGCCAAGCGTCGGTTTATGCTTCACTTTAAGTCCCCACACCAGGTCCCAGGACCATCAGCTCACACTTCCTCCAGATGTGCACACCACTGGGTAATGTTTATCCCCTTCCCATGTTCAGACCCCAGGTTCACTCCCTCAGCTCTGCCCCCTTCCTGCTTCAATGCCACTGGGTGTCGCTGGACTCACCCATGAACTGGGAATATGACGTGTAGAGAGCTTGTAGTCCAGCCGGATTCAGGGCCACCCCAGGCCCCTGATGGACCCCACAGCCGGGAAAGCCCCGAATGAGTCTGTGCCGTCCTCCCTGCAGCCTCTGATCTTTCCGTCAATACTCACAGCCACATCCTCAGGGACCTTCAGATGCAAGTCACCCCCGTCCTCTCTGCCCTGCACTTGCTGTGTCCTCAGAAGCCACAACACTCCTCTCTCCCCTCCACCTTCCTCACGGTCCTCCACGCGGGACTGAGCTGCAGGACGGGACAATCGCCCACACCCGGGCTTGTCCACTTCAGCTTAAAGGGGCGGTGAGGGTCCCGGGAGACAGGAACTCACCTCAGCCCGTCTCCTCAGAGGGGGCGCCGCCATTGCCCTCGTGGGCTGAGCCGGGCGGGAGTAGAAGCCGCTGCAGGAATGGCGGTCCCTGTCCTGGTCCTGGCGTGGGTCCGGGCGGTGACTCCGAGATTCAATCCCACGTGTGAGCTGTGAGCACCACTGGAGGCTCCGACCATTGGCTGTGAGGCGGGGAGCACCACTCTCCGGCCTCCTCCACGAGACTGTGCGCCCAGGAAAACCTCACCGCCTGAGACAAAAACTTAAGAACACGAAACCCCGCCAGAAGGACTACTATTCCCGCCCTACAGAAGCGGCCAAAGGGAAATGCCTTCCCTGAGTCCCCATTGGCTCAGCCTGGTGAATGCCATGCGTGGCCTTCTGGGCAATGTAGTTTCTCCGCTCCAAGGGCAGGATCTGGTATGTCTCAATTGACTAATGGACTCGATTCATGAGCAAATAGCCCAAGAACACACAAAGTACACTAAGGATCCTCTAGCGCCTTCAGTGGAGGTGATGTCTGGCGCAAGTTTCTTTCTCAAGAACCTGGGTGGCTGGTTTGGCATATCTTTCTTACAGGACCTGCTCTTTCTGAATGACAGGAATTGTTTGTTCATTTATGACTTTTGGCATGTGTCTCCTTCAGGCCATATGAAGCTGGGGGAGGTTACTGAAGTTTCTAACTTGATCTTGAAGTATGGTAGCAATCATCGCAGGTAGAAACTATAGTTTAACTTTAACCGTGCTGTTTGGCTTCTGTACTTATTTGCTTTTAATTTATTTTGATTTTCTGAATGATATAAATGATCCCATCCGATTAAATACCTATTGATTGCAATGTGAATATCACATGGGTTGTGATCATACTGGTCTTAGAAAGCACGTTTTCCTTTACCTGGGAAGGACAGCAAGATTATCCCAGGCTCAGAGGGCTCCAGTTAAGGTGTCCCTGTTGACTCAGTGTTCCAGAGACGCAAAAACTGTAATTTAGATAACATGCTTAAGTCTAACCAGGTTCCTCATTCCAGACCCAAGGGCTCTAGATAATGTTTTTCTGTCAATTCAGTGATCCAGAGACCCAAAACTGTCATTTAGAAAATATGCTGCTTCTGTAAACTGCTTTTTGCAAATCAGGTTCCTCATTCCAAAACCCCCAAAACCCGGGATGTAATCAATACCTTTGTGATCTTTGCCTATATAAGTCTGGTTTGGCGACCATCTTATTACTATGATATTTGGGGAATGGCCCCTCATAGTCCCGGATTGCAATAAATGTGACTCTTTAATTCGACTTCATGATTCATCCTTCTGTGATTCGTGGGGTACATTACAACATTCTAACCTGCCTCCATTGAATCCATTATACAAAGTTAATGTCACAAAACAGACACTCATACTTAAGAGCATCTGCTTCTGATGCCACCAGAAGTGTCAGCTCTGCCTGGGCTGCAGTGTGGATAGATGGCCAAGAGACAAGTGAAAAAATGCTCAAAATGACTGATTGTCATAGAAATGTAAATTAAAGCAACAATTAGGTATCACCTCACCACTGTCAGAATGGCTGCCATCAGCAAATAAACAAAGCACAAGTGCTGGGGAGGATGTGGAAAAAAGAGAACCCAGTTCACTGCTGGTGGGAAAGCAAACTGCTATAGCCATTATGGACATCAATTGGGAGTTTTTGAAAAAATATTTAGTATGGAACTGCCATTTGATCCAGTGATTCTACTTCTAGGAATATATCCTAAGAAATCTGAAACAATCAGATAGAAAGTATGCACCCCTCTGTTCATACCAGCACAATCTACAATAGGAAAGGTCTGGAAACTGCCTAGGTACCCATCAGTAGATGAGTGGATAAAAAAAACTGTGGTATATTTACACCATGGAATACTATGCAGCAGTAAAAAAGAAGAATCTTTACCATGTCACACAGTATGGAGGAACCTGGAGAGCATCATGCTAAGTGAAATAAGTCAGTCAGAGAAAGACAGTATCACTTGATCAAACTCACATTTGGAATCTAATGAACAAAAACCTGATGGAGTGGACTCAGAGACAAGGAAGCATGGAAATTACTGCAGAATCTTAGAGGGACAGTAGGGAGGGTAAAAAGTAATGTCCTCAGGTAAGGATTAAAAGCATATGCATGCTCCTGGTTTTGGAGCCCAGCGGGGCCTCCAAAAAAAAATAATAAAAACACATGCACACACACAATAAAAACAAAGTCACCTGAGCCTTGAGCATTTTCTTCTGTTCTCTGAAAGCAAGGGGAAAGCTCTAGCTTGCTGAGTCCTGGGTCTGCTCTACACTTGTGTTTATAAATATGTCTTCCGTCACTTGAGTCCCTGGAAATGCTGACACCCCTCCATGTAACCTTCGCCTGCTTCCCATGAGTCAATTGCTTTTGGTGATGTAAGAAATGTCCAAACCTGTGGAGAGTTTTTCTGTTTATTTGACTCAAGTCGGAGACATTTGCCAGGAAGGAAAGGAACAACAGATTGAGGAATGCTCGGGAGAACGGCAGTTTTGCATCTTTTCTATACATTAGCCTCAAAGGAGAAGACATAAGGGGGTTACATGACATTCACTGGTGATAAATTAGGGGGGAGAGGTAAGGAGGAAAATCTCTTGGACTGGATAAACAGTAAAAAAAATAGACACACAATTATTTTTACGTCTATCGATTAGTTAACAGGTAATATTTAACACAAGAGCAATAATAATTGGGGCTCTGTGATCTTCTGTGCTGCGAGATTGTGCTTAGAAGTCTGTGAAACAGAAATGTCCCCGAAAATCCAAAGGTATGTGTTAGGTCGGAGAGAGCCCAGGATCGGATACATGCAGATGTGATGAGACAATGGACTCCCCCTGGAATTTCTCACAGATCAACGTGCCAGACACAGATACTGGCTTCTTCTCCCTGAATCCACATACCCCCACACAGATACTGACTCATTCCTGAATACCTTGCTGACCCCCCTGCAGCTGAAACTTCCTCTACTGAATACCTCAGCTCATGTCCCTGCCCCTCACCCAACCGCAGTTAAAAAAAAAAAAAAGCCCCCCCCCCCCCCCCCCCGTTGGCGTGAATCCACGTGCCCTGTCTTTGGGGGTACGTGGGTCTCCCAGGGACGCAGAAATAAACCTTTTCCTTTCCTTTCTTTTCTGATTCACTGGACGCTCTATTTCTTGCGCCGCCTCCTGAGCCACCTAACCTAACAGCATGTCATCCCAGATGCAGACAGGTTCAATAAGGTAAAAATTGTCCTTTACAAACAACAACAACAACAACAACAACAAAAACCAACAGGCTACTGCATAAATAACCAGGTGACTAGCTTTTACTTGGAAAGTTTTAACTTGAAAGCATCCTATATGGGTTACTTTTAGCCTCTGAGTTTGCAAGATTGGCTATGCCATCCCAGGCTACCTGAGCTTGCTAGATTTACTGTGTGCCATCATATTTGTCCATACGGGGGAGTTAGAGCCTGTGGTTGAGGAGGAAATTCAATGAGTGGTTTATTCACTCTGGGATCTATTGTTATGTCCTCCTGAACACAATGCCCCAAGTATTGCTGGTGTCCCTTTAATTGGTCTCCTAGAAGGAGTCACTCTTGAGGTCAAGAAAGCCTTAGGTTCTAAATGTGGTGGAAGTATTTGTAAGGACAAGAAAAAGGTCTGTTTCTTCGCCGTGGCCTTCCACAATTTATCAGAAACAGCTGCTAATTAAACACCAAGATTGTTGGCTCCTCTAATTCAAATAGCTCCTCAGTTCAAACTGCTGAACAAGATAAGCTACTCTCAATGCTTCAGTCTTACATGCCCCTCCTTCCTGCTGTTGTCACACCTCTGGGATATGTTGGACCAAGGGGTCTCTAGTTAGTAGAAAGTTTCCTTCCCTCTGGCCCTTCAAACAAGCCTCTTTTGACCTCTTCGTAGCTGTTGCTCTAGTCATATTTTATAGGCTTGGGAAAATACTGATTAATACACCTCCATATACATCTGCCAGACTCTCTCCAGGAATGCAAACAAACTGTAACTTTTAAAGACAGCCCCTCATATCTACTCAACTTCAGCTCAGCCCAAGGCCCCTCCATTCCTTGTCCCTTAGCAACAGCCACTGATGAAAAGCAGATGCCACACTTCCTTCCTTGCCCTGTAGTGAGTAACAATACTTGGCCCTTTCTTCCCTTGGAAAGTAAAATTAACTTCCCCTCCCGCATGACTTCTTGTAGGTGTGAAATCATTCACAGCCAGCATCACAGCCCAAACCCTAAGGGTGTTCCTTTCTTCTAAGGAAGGAGTTAAGGGAACTGACTGTGAAAGATGAGGCAATGACATTGTAAAGGAAAATAATATTTCCTTCTTCTTTTCTAGGTTCTTTAGTTGGCCTAAAAATTAAACTGATACAATATAGGTTAACAAGGGAAAACCATAAAAAAAGCGATTAACATGTATACCTGCTGTATACATGGATATGACTCAGAAAAACAGAGTAATTGGCCAGCACCATCATCTGAAAAGCCTTCATCTACAGTCAGAAAATGTTGTGTGGAGAGTCAGTTAGGGTAGATTGTCAGGAAAAGCACAGTAAGGACCTCAGTTGTGGCTCAGTGTGCTGTGCACTGCGGTGAGGGCTTGTACTCAAAAGGATTCTGTTCCAACCCCATGACCCAGGGTGCAGGCACAGGAGGCTGGGAAGGAGAACAAGGCTCCAGAACATGATCCGGGCTGCAGGGGAAGCATGGTGAGAGCCATTGTCTCATTCAGCCAGTAGGGATATACAGGAGAGAATCACATGGCAGTGGGTCCTATGCAGGAATAAGACATGAGCACACGTCCACTGAGACCAGGATCATGTAGGACTCCAGCATCACTTGCAAATACTAGGTCCCCAAATTCATGTCCAATTGTATTCACTCCTGCAGGGGAAATGTCAATGCCACATAGGAGCACCTTTTGAAGTGTCAAACTGAGGCAAGAAATTCATCAAAGTAGATGGGATCACAGCATGACACCCGATATGTGGACAA